AGTAGTCATTGGCCTCCATTGTATTTTTTAAGTCCATACAATGTGGTGAGCGTTTTTTTTTTAATGTGCAAAATTTAGAGAATGGATATGTTTGTTACATTCAGGAAAGAGGCAGTGTCATGACCCCACGTGAACAGCTAAGGAAGATATCGGCGCTGGGAGAGCAAGGCGCTCTAGATGAGAAACACTGGTACCGACTGGTCAATGGAATGTCTGCTGGAGGTGAGAGTTCATTTGGAAGTGTTCAAAGAACACCTAAACCAGAGCTGATCGTAACCTTGAAGAAATATAGCTGAGAAAGAGCTATTAGGCTACTGACACCTTCATCTATTCCCCTGTGTGTGAAGCAGAGTTACGGCAAAGACAGGAGCTCATGATGAGGAACCAGATGGCCATGGCTCCACAGATCTTGGCTCAGGGGCAGCAGAGACTGCAGGGTGTGCCTGCACAGTTTGATCCCCGCTTCATGGAGAGGTCTGTTAGAATGAACACCAATACAACCAAGATAATTGTTAAGTTTTTAATTGTTCATGGATATTTTAGGTTCAGCTTACATGAACTTTATTGGCATGACAGTAGCTACGTAATATTTCCATAGAAAAAAATAAAATGGCAGTAGTGCAAATTAAACAGAGTGGAAAAAATAAAATGAGTAAGATTGCAGTGAAGTAACTATGCAGTTTAAACTAAGAGTAGAATTTTACAAATTTAAATCTAAATTAAATTTTTATTTGTCACACACAATCATACACAGTACAGTCAGTGTGCAGTGAAATCATTTTATGACTCTCCATACAAAGAATGAACTAGCACAGAAATAAAATTAACAGAAACGAAAGGATTAAAATTAATAAAAGGAACATACAAATTAAAATAAATAAATAAATAAGACATTGGGAATTGGGAAAGAATATAGGAATAAAAAAAGAACATAGGAAGAGAATAACAACACAATGTAGAAAATAGAAATATAATCATATAACAGTGATGTAAGCTGTGTTAGTTGAATTTTTAATGATGATTTTAATCCTCTTTATCCGTAGGGAACTGGTGCCGCCCACTGAAATGGTATCAGCTGATGCTAGACAAATCCGCATAGGTGCCCACCTCGGCCCACCTCTGCCCCCAAACTCCAATGTTATTCCAAGCAGAGGATTCCCTGGCACAGGTTAGAATGAAATTATGTACTGGTTAAATGAAGAGAAGTACAGGGCAAGCTCAGTGAGGAAGAACAACCTAATTTTGCAAATGTTTTCCATTTTGCAGGTTACGGATTCCTTCCAACTGAATCCATGGAGACGGTTGCTAGACGACAAGAGTTAATTCATAAACAGACCATAGCCAGGTAAATTTCAGCGCATTTGCTATACTCAGTGGGTATATCATACAGACAAATGCAATACAAAGCCATGGAGTGGAACAATCGGGTTCCAGAAGGAAAAAACTCCATTCATTTTGTCCATTGGGAAGACAGTTCTGTTGTGAACTCTGAGGTTGTTAATTAATTGTTAATCTATCTATCTATCTATCTATCTATCTATCTTTTAATTTTAATTTTGTCCAATTTTAATTACTTTTGTGCTTTGAATAAAAGTTTGTAATGTTTTTATTCACCTTGTAGCTGGTTGTCTTGGTTTATGGCTTATAATGCTTTAACAAAGACTTTCCCTATAGAAAAATGAATGGAAAAATAATATGTAATAATATACTTCCGGAACCACCACCGCTGAAAAACTGGGCGTGCACTAATTGTAATTTTATTTTATTTTTTAATGAGGATGGAGATGAATGCTATCCTGCACCAAAAAGAACTGGAGAACGCCCACCAAAAGGGTCTTATTGGGATGGAGAATCCCATGATGTACCAGGGCATCCAACCCAATCCAATGGCCTTCAGGGGACGCCAGCGACTCCCAGATGGTCATGATGTATTCGTCCATCGCAATGCCCTTGAAGACCTGCACGCTAACAGTCTCCTCATGTCAAGCCCTTACCCACCGATCAGCACACTGCAAAGGGAGCGAGGACGCAGGACTGGCAGAAGGACTGCCAATCATAAGAGCTCAGACAGCAGCATCACTCTCCCCAAAGGCCAATCAGAAGAGAAGAACGTCGAGCAGAGTCCAGGAGCTGCCTCAGGGGAGGAGAAGGAAGTTGAAGGGAAAGGCGAAATGAGCAATGAGGCCACCACCAGCAAACCACACCAAACCAAAGTAGAAACAGAGCTGTCTTCTGGATGCAGTAGGAAAGGTTTTAAGGAAGGAGAGCCAGGGATTCGCAAGGCATGTATTAGTGGACAGGAGGGATGTGCAGAAGTCACCAACTGCAATGATAGCACCAGTGACAAAGACATATCCAACACTTGCTCGGCTTTCCAAGAAAAGTTTCTGTACCCGTCTGCCGCTGGCCCACTCACAGGGATGCCCTACATGCTCCCTGTGCCAGGAAATGGACTTGTACCACTTGGTGTGTTTGTTAGTTTCTTTCTTGTTACTATTATAACATTAATTAATATTTTGAGCGAGTACTTTATTATATTTTTTGTTTTCGTTTTAATTTTAGTGAAAGTTTAAGTAATGTTATGTGCTTTTGTAATATTTTAGTTTTTTTTTGTTTAAATATTTCTATGTAGCTTTAATTTATTTTTATTTCTAGTTTAGTTATTTTAGTATTTAAACTGAATATATTTAAACAATTTATTTCAGCTGCCAATGCAATTTCTGATTTTGAAGTCTAAGTTTTTCATCTAATATTTATATTTTATTTCTTTTCAGATTTATTTAAATTAATGAAAACATTTTTTATTATTTTATAATAACAACACTGCTCTTTTACTGTTTGTTAGGCACATTTTTGTTAGCCACTATACCAAAATGATGATGCATTCTAGTCATCGTTACCTATATAAATTTTTTTTGTTTTAATTTTCAACTAGGACATCCTAATATGTTTCTTAATGGAGAAGAGATGACTTCATTAGAAGATATTCGCAAGTGGTCAGTTGATGACGTCTACAACTTCATCAGTGAAATACCAAGTTGCGCTGAATATGCACAGGTAATACAAATGTAAAATGACAAAATGCAATTATAATTTCATAGCTTTAAGTCTCATTCTTTTGTGTGTCACTTGTTGCAGACATTCAAAGACCACATGATTGATGGAGAGACGTTACCTCTTCTTACAGAGGACCACCTTCTGGATACACTTGGTCTAAAGCTCGGGCCAGCACTTAAGATACGATCACAGGTATTCGCCATCTTTCAAAAGGACCAAATTTAATCTCGATAAGCAGGTCAATCATTCAAATTTAATTTATATTAAAATATTAAGTAAAATGAAGTATATTTTGTATATATAAAATGAAATATACACATATATAACTGATTATTTTAAGGGTCCTCTCTACCCTCCAAGAGGTCCTGGGTCTTGAGTTAAAGTTTATTAAAAAATGAACTCATCTAACTGATTTGGTTGTTCTGTTCTCTTTTCAGTTGTCCCGACGGCTGGGTAACATGTTCTACAGCATGATGAACTTGCCTCTGCCCGTCTCCGGGCTGCAGCCTCCGCCTGAGAAAAGCGGTGACAGATCATCAGACATCAGTTCTCCTCTCAACTGCAACAGTGTGGAGCTGCTCAGCAGCCCCAGAGACACAGAGGCTCTTAAATCAACAGAGCCTGTAAGTGAAGCTGATAATCCTTCACCAAGCCAGATGAGTGAGACCACCTGAAAGAGCATGCAGAACTGTTGGACCTCTTTTTTACCTCAAAATCTCTTACTGTTTTGACACCTAATGCATAAGGTAGACAGGCACTGACATTTCTATAGTGAATATACTGATCATATATTTTTAAATATTCATCACAAATATATTATGTATTATGCAAAAGGTTCAGAATGTGGTCTCCAACAGAGTTAGATTTTCGAATGCAGGATATTTCTATATATGTATATTTTGTAATATGTTAGCAAATCAATTACAAATCATTTTTGTCCTTATCATTGCAGCCTTTTTTATTGTAAAATTGTATTTTGGTTTTTACTTTAAACTTTAATTATTCTCTATTGTCGTGTGGTGTTTGCTATGGAGAAAATAAAAATAATTACTCCTTTGGTCTTTATTTGATTCGTTTGATATGTTAAAAAACATATATAGCATTTTCTGCACAGAATATACAGTATTACTTTCTTTTTCCACAAATGAAAATACATGATTTATGATATGACTGAATCTAGTTTAAATCCCTGGTTTATGTGATTGTTTTGTAACTTTCTAGCTATAAATATCAAATCAAATGTAGCCTAAATTAATCTTTCAAATAAAAAATTATTTAAAACTAATAAACTTAAAATATTTCCCATATATTTGTGACCCTGGACCACAAAACCAGTCATAAGTCGCTGGGGTATATTTGTAGCAATAGCCAACAATACATTGTATGGGTAAAAATTATTGATTTTTCTTTTATGCCAAAAATCATTAGGATATTAAAAGTTATATATATATATATATGATAATTTTATTAATAAAAACTCATTAACAATCATATTAATAATGCATTAATAAAAACTCATTTTATTAATAGAGTTGAATCACTGATCAGTGCAGTCAACACAATATTTTCAAAAAAGTTTGTATTGATATTTTAGTACTACTGATACTACTTTAGTTTTTTATATAGCTTCAATAAAATAAGTGTACGTTTTTTATTTTATTTCTTTTATTAATGTTTATTTTATTTCAGGTTTTATGGCCTAATAAACTTATAATATACTTCTCAGGTGTCATACTTTCAAGGAACATGTTAGTCTTATGTTTATATATATATATATATATATATATATATAGCTAATGCTTTATCTAACAAACAATTAATAATTCTCACAACAAAATTGTGTATCTTCTTGACCCTGACTTCAATGCACCGTCGCAGTTTGTGTGCCTCACCTGCACTTCAGATGGCAGTATTCATTCATTCTGATTTTAATTTGCCAAGCGAAGAAGTGACTGATCACGGGCTATTCGAAATATCGCGAGACTTCCCTCCCCACTCTGTTCGTGACCACGGCAAGGGAACCCAGAAGTTAGAAATCATGGCGGAGCGCAGGAGACACAAGAAACGAATTCAGGTACAGAATTCACGTCACTCTTGCTATTAGAGGCCCAATCTTAGATCGCTGCTTGGCATTGAGTCGTTTCTCAAGTTAGTGTTTTGTTTGACCAAAAATACAATGGTACTTCGATCCGTTATTTTTGCAATGCTCTCATATGGGAGGTGGATTATTTGTCAATGCTGGCGCAATTTTTGCGCTTCCCTTGGGTAATGCATTGTATCTGTGTAGCAGGCATCTAATCATTTATACAATTGCTCGATTGATTTGATGTGAGCATTACCTGTGTTTTGCTGTCTCTCCCCTGTGAAGAGTATGTGTCTGGTGGCACAGCTGATGGAGTTGGCCATCTTAGCTCGGCACAGACTGTTCGGTGTTTGCAGGCTGCTCTCTTTAACCAGCTGCTGTCTCATATGCGTCACGAATGTGACCAAATAACGTTCATAATGCAGCACTTCTCATCGCCAAATTTGCACCCATTTGCAGGTTAAATAAAGGGGCATCTCACCCGCAAATAAAAATTGTCATTTACTTAATTTCATGTTTTTTCAGTCTCATTTGACTTTCTTTTTGCGTTAAACATACAAGTCTTGGTAGGCAGAATGCATTTGTCGCCATTTATTTTAACTGTTTGAAAAAGGGTGCATTAAACGTGAACCGTGACTGTGAGTCCATAACATCTTATATCTAATTTTCCATGAGAAAACACATACAGGATTCAAACAAGTGAGTAAATGCTGAAAGGTTTTCCATTTAAAGCCATTCTCCGTTATTAAAACGTGTAGCATCCTAAATATGTCAATTAAATGCAAGTGCTACATTATCGTCTGCCGCTAGTGCACTACTCAGACAGCATTTTTGGACTCCAATGCATTTATCATCCACAAAAACACGTTGTCTGGCTTGGCTGCTTATTTGGTTTTGGGTCACAGTTACTGTGTGTTCCCGTGATGTTATGTAAAAATAGTGGAGTTTTGTATAATGACCTGTTGTCTTGATAAGAGAGTCACTCTTCGTGATCCTTCTAGAGTGTTTGTTAGTTTTTGCTCTTATGCAACAAGTTGAAATCCACTGTCATTGCTGGTCAGTTTTCTTACTGTGAATAAACATGTATTCACCATATAAACAAAGTAAATTGAAAGGACATTTCCCACTCTTTTGTAATAGATGAGAAATCATGCATTATTTGTGCTTAACAATCATTAGGAAACCTAAAACAAACCTTTAGACTTAAGTTTTCCAAGTGTTAATCAAATAGTTCAAATGTTAAAGTCTTTCATCATTTACTCTTGCTCGTGTCAAAAGAAGATATTTTGGTTTAGTTTTTTTTTTTTTTTCCAAACAAAGAAATTCATTTGGAACCATAACATTCTTCAAAACATAATCTTTTGTCTGCTCTAGAAGAAAAAAAGTCTTACAGTTTTGGGACAACATGAGGGTGAGTAAATGATGACAATTTGCTTTCTTGTTGAACTTTCCCTTCAAGCAGTTTATCTGAAGCCTGCAGCCTGTCTAATGTAGTACAGCTGTCACTAGAAGACCACCAAACCATAACCTAGTGTAGTACAAGAGAAGTTATTGTTTACCAAGGCCAAGTTGAGACAATATAATCAATAAACATCTGGCTGCTTTCCTTCACAAAATCCAGAGGAATATCAGGCAACCTACAGACAAGTACCATGTTTATATGGTCTTCATTGAATTTGTTTCTCTGAGTCACGCAGGAGACATTCTGACCGAATAGAGTATTAGGGATTGTGGAGCTCAAAAACACTCTCATACTAAGACCTCAGGCTTAAGAGTGCAGTTATGTCTGGTAGTCATTCATTACTCAATAAATGCTGTCTCTATAGCCTGGCTTATTGTCAGGATTTGTGAGTTTTTTTTTCTTTGTGCATAGTGTGGTCACATAGTACTATAAGTAATGACCTTTAGCTTAATAAATGGGGTCAGTGAGGACTCAGTGTGTCTGAAAAGAGACTGTAATTTCAGTGTATAGATTACACAGGACAGCACATCAGTGTGTGGTCATTGTGGTGAACTGAGGCTTGTAATTCGTTCACATTCATTGAGTAGATGACCGAAGAGGGTCCTGCTGCCAGTGCTGGAGATTCATTTCAAAGCTTTTCACAGGGTTTCGCTGGATTCCTGCACTGCTGTTATCCGATGTCATTTTTCATTGGAATTAAGGGTTTGTAGCCAAAGGGACAAACCAGCTTTTTGTCAGACTCTTGGTTTCTGCTGTATCTATTTAGCTTGGTTTATACTATTAATATCTAGGTCCTCTCTAGGGCTGCACGATAAATCGCATGTAGTTAATGCTGCTCAATGTGAAAGCCCGCAGGTGATGGAGATTTACCGCTGATTACAGAACCGGCTTTACTGATAAGATGCGCGTTAACCATCGCATGCGATTTATCGTGCAGCCCCAGTCCTCTCCCATGGTGAAGTCTCACTGGTCCAGAATCATGCTGTACATAATAGGGATGCATATATTAAACTCTGATTATTAAAATATGGTTGGTATTTTCATGTTATGGAATATATTACGATTCTAAAACAATTTCGCTTAAAGTAAAGAAAAACGCTTAAAATTGGTTCAGATTCTACAAGTGGATCTGGGCATCAGTATGCAAAATGGACATTAGGGCTGTGTATCACCAGCAAAGTCACGATACGATACATATCACGATACAGAGGCCACGATGCAATACGTATCACGATACAGGACTGCACTGAATTTCACCAAAGCAAAATTTAGTAAAACAGCTGTTTATTAAACACTGCATACTATAGTGCCATACTATAATGCAGTGGTTCTCAACCTTTTTTTCCACCGGGCCGCACTATGGTCCAAGTGCAAGTCTCGCGGGCCGCACACATAGGCCTATCATTTACATATTACGTCAGCAATACAAACCAACCTGATTTATAATATTATAGCCTAAATATTATG